GTCCCCTCTGTCCATGAAGCAGTTTCTGGATTTTGGTAAGAAACATACACACACACACACTCACAGTCCAGCTATTCATTGAATGTATTTAAACTGCACAGTGATTATACTGTGTCAATAACTCCAAATATAATTTGAAATAATATATTTATCATTTTGAGTGTCAGTAAATTATAATTAATTTGTTATTTAGGATTCTTTTTGAATAAGGAACTAAATTGACCTTTTATCCTGTTACATTATTACAGAATTTAACCACATGTTGAGATTGATCTCTCTCTTTGCTTTTTGTTTTCAACAACCAGGATCAGAAAATGCTTGTGAGAAAACCTCCTTCTCCTTCCTACGGCAGGAGTTACCAGTCAGGTTGGCAAACATCATGAAAGAGATCAACCTGTTGCCAGACAACTTGCTGAGGACTCCATCAGTCCGGTTGGTCCAGAGCTGGTGTGTGTTTATTGACTTTTCTGTATGACGTTGTCTCACGTATTGCTGATGAGATGCTATCTGGAAACAGACAGATGTTTTTAAATCCTCTGCACAGGTACATGCAGAGCCTCCAAGAAATCCTGACATTTAAGGACAAAAATGCAGACGATGAAAAAGTCACAGTAGAGTGAGTACATCCAAATATGCTCCATATTTACCTGATTTTATCCTTGGGATTTCTTGCTGTATTTTTGATTTCTTCATTTAGTTTTACAGGTGCTGTAATAAAAATCAGGAACCGTCACAATGAAGTCATCCCCACCATGGCTCAAGGGGTGGTGGAATACAAAGAAACATATGGCACTGACCCCATTGTGAGCCAAAACGTGCAGTACTTCCTGGATCGTTTCTACATGAGTCGCATTTCCATCAGGATGTTGCTCAACCAGCACAGTAAGTACATTCTTATTATTACCTCAAAATCCATAATTTTATATCAGGCCATGAACAACAGAATGGTAAACAAATGTGATTGTAGCAATTTTGTTTGTAGCTAAAACATTACTTTTATCTTCTTCATTCCTTTTCTCAGCGCTCCTCTTTGGTGGGAAGGTGAATCCAGCTCATCCTAAGCAGATTGGTAGCATTGATCCTCACTGCTGTGTCAGTGATGTCATCAAAGGTAAGAATACAAACAAAAAACCTGAGGAGCAAGCAGAAAAAACATTGGTGTCATCAATAACTAATATGCTCCTGCAAACCTTCTTCTCCTATAGATGCCTATGAAAATGCACGAAACCTCTGCGACCGGTACTACATGAACTCCCCGGAGCTGATCCTGGAGGAATTCAACGGTAGTAACACACACACGCAGGCAAAGACAGCTGATAATATACACTACACACATGAAACGTCTGCATCTATGAATCATTTAAATGCCGCAAAAACCTGTACTATGTAAACATGTTTTTATTTTACGTGACTTTTTGTCATAACAGAGAAAGAAAAGGACCAGCCCATCACTGTGGTCTACGTCCCGTCACACTTGTATCACATGGTTTTTGAACTTTTTAAGGTAAACAAAAATTCAACTCAGCCTCAGGGAGTTTTATATCAGAGTGGTCTGCAAGGCTTGGTTACATTGTCACCTGACTGCAGAACGCCATGCGGGCCACCATGGAGTTACATGGAGATTCCATGGAATACCCTCCCATCCACACACAGGTGGCTCTGGGAAGTGAAGACCTGACCGTGAAGGTAGATCTGCTGCAGTCACTGTTCACTCTTCTTCTCTCACTGTAACCTTCTGTGGTACAGACAGTTTGTCCAGCAGCAGTGGGAGAGAAATGTGCCATGTAGACCTCCTGTTTCTCCTCAGGTGAGTGACCGTGGAGGAGGCGTGCCGTTGCGGAAGATTGACCGGCTGTTCACCTACACCTACTCCACCGCTCCTCGGCCGAGCCTGGGTGGTTCACAGGCTGCTCCTCTGGTCAGTAAACTTACCTTCTCCTTTGTACCAAGTATCAACATTAATGAGACTTTAGCTAAAGAGAAAAATCTGCTGAAACCAGTTCATTGCTGAGACTTCATGTCTTAATCTGTAATCTGTAGACTGTGAGTTAAAGTCCAACCCAATCTGTCCAAGCCGGAAAAAACACATCTACTTGTGTTTTGTATTTTTCTCCAGGCTGGTTATGGCTACGGACTGCCCATCTCTCGGCTGTACGCCCGCTACTTTCAAGGCGACTTGAAGCTGTACTCTCTGGAGGGCTACGGCACGGATGCTGTGATTTTTATCCGGGTAATCTCTCCATTAGTTTCAGTGTGTGTCTCATTCACAGCAGAGTCGACTGGACACACATGTCTGATCTGATCTTTCTGTGTTCTGCCAGGCTCTGTCCACAGAGTCCATCGAGAGGCTGCCCGTCTACAACAAGTCTGCGTGGAAGCACTACAAGACCATCCACGAGGCCGACGACTGGTGCGTCCCCAGCAAGGAGCCCAAAGACATGACCACATTTCGCAGTTTCTAATTTGACATGGTCTGAAAGAACAAAGTGTACAGAGGAGACTGTCAGTGATGTGTGTGCACAGGTTAATTATCTGAAAGGACTTTCTGTACAGAAAGTTTATGAACTATAACTGGAACAAACCAGAAACATTTTTCTTATTTGGGTTTCAATATCATTCAGTAATGACATGCATATATTTAGTTAGTTCGGTACAATGCTATGAAGTGATACATTTTAAATACATTATAATACATTATGGATCAATTCATGTTTTTTTAATTTCTGTGGGAGTTTGTTTTGACGTCCTGGTGGTCAGAATCGGTACTGCGTACAATGTATGGTACATTGTTGGAGGCTTAAATGACAAGCTGGACACACTGGTTACACTTTGGCTCATTACCTTTTTTAAAAAAACACACAAAAGCTATGGCATCTTATTATGTATGACACTGTTTGAGCTGGCCTGTCTAAGAATGATACAGCAAATGACATTTTGTTTTACTTCAGGCTAAAGAAAACATTTATTAGGAAACCAGCCAAAACTGAAAGTTCAAGCAGCTTCATCTTTTAAAAGGAAATGTGTGTTTGGTTTATTTTTAGGATTGAGATATTTTCTGCAGTTCCATGTTTACTTCACTGTACTTTGTTGGAGAATATGTGTTAACTCTCATTTGGGAACATATACTTAACAGATGTCTGGCTGTTTATAGAAATGTAAATGAACAGCTTTTCAGCCCACTGAGTCATGTTAATGCCAGAATACTACTAATGATGGGTTCAAGTATTTTTAAATGTTTTTACTCACTGTGCAAAGGTTAAAAACCCCTTTCCAGCTGTCGTGGACAGAGTTGCATATTCCCTACTGTGAAAAAGAAAGAACTGCAAGTTAAGTGGAGCTAAAAGTAACATGTGTCTTGATTTAGGTTTTAGGAAAATTATTTCACTAAGAACCTTGGCTCAATTAACTGGACAAAGGTTAACTAAATGTTTCTTTCCCACTGGTGTCATGTTTAATAAGAATATTCAGGTGGGGGTTGTGTCATTAGGTCTCATGTTGTTCAATAAGCTATTATTCAAATGTTTATTACTGTTACACAACAGTTGTACTTTGTGGTACATGTACAATAAAATCTACAAAAATATTGATATATTTGCTTGGTTGGAAACAAACTTTTAAACCCCATTGTCTCCTCAGATTGAATCCAAGTTGTTTGGCACCATAAAAAAAAGATTTAGGTTTTAAAGTCACAACTGCAAAACTGTAAACTGATCCTGTTCCAAAAAGTGCCACTTGCTCTTGAAAAAAACAAAAAACAAAGCAAAACAAAAAGCTAGTCTGCCTTCTTTGAGGCTCAGAACTGCCACCTACTGGATATCCTTCATTTTCCTGTAAAAATAGGAACACAGCAAGAAAAGGACAAAGGGTAACTTTCATACAGATGATAATACTAAGTACAAATTATTAATTATCTTTAAGCCATTCATGTTGAAAAAAACAATTTAAGTATTTAAGTCAGTATTCAAAATTAGTTTATTGATGCTGTTTGTACCAAGAATGGTTTGTCTATTTCAGAAGATGTAGACAACTTTATTTTCTTGCAGTCCAGCAGATGGCAATGTACACGGAGTCATATTTGATAAGTAAAACAAAAACAAACAAACAAAAAAAAAAAACCAGGAAGACTTTACATTTGGCTATCAACACTTCATTCAGCCTCACATTCATACACCTAGTGGCGCTGTTCTTCCCAACTCACACAAGTCCTTGTCATAGGCTCGTGTCACCATCTAATGGACTGGTGTAGTTTGCATGTGTGTTAATAGTGTGTGTGTGCGTATCCACAGATAATCGCTGTTCCAGCTCAGTGACACACAGACAGAGTCTGGAACAGCACAAAAGCAGCTTCAACTTTGTCCCTAGTTCATTTGGGTTTTGCTTTTCCCTTCAGCAACAACAACATTGTGGCTATTCTACTTAGTAGAAAAATGTTTGATAGTATAAAATAAACATTGGTAATTCAGTTAAAAAAAAGATATGCAGTTAAATAGGCACATGTATAAAACGTATTTATACATTTAAAACCTTGTCGCCCATGGAAGCTTAAAAAGACAAATATAGTGCTTTTCTTATCTTAACTGTACAATAATGGTTCCTGCAGCAGAGATGGTGGTTTACATGGAAACAGGCCAAGTTTATACGAGCAAAAGGAACAGGAAAAAAGCATTAAAAGCGGTGTACATTTCAATTTTATGTGTGTGCTGCAACAGCTATATCATCGCCTTAGCTTTTTATAGTGGTAAAAATGTTAATAAACCCTTTTTGGTCACAAACCCCTAATTTCACTTTTTCATAATAAAAATAGATTAAGCTGAAGTTTGTTAAATCTTTTGGCAGCTACAGTCAGACCCTAAGTCACTACTGGCACTTTAGTCAGCCTAGCTAAGACTTGCTGATGTGCTGAGATCATGGTATCACCTGTTAAGAAAAAGGAAAAATAAAATAATCAACGGGTCCTTCACGTTCAGGCTGATATAGAAATTTTAGTTACGTGGATTGAGAGTCTGGGGCTGCGATCTCAGCAGACAGAGTCAGAAGAAAGTGGTAGTTTCCCGCTGCGTCGGACTTCCTTCTCCCTCTTCTCTCTCTGTTTCTCCAGCTTCTCCTGGGTTTTACGCATTTCCTTCAGCTTTTTCTTGATGGTTGAGCGGTCGCTTTGACTCGACACGCCGAGTGCCTGCAGGAAGGAGTGCACAGCTTTAGTCTGGTTTTCAGACTGAAGACCACAGTCACACTATGTTCATTAAAAAAAATTGTTTATTTGAAATCACTGGAATATCTATTCACCCTGTGCTGTTTTTCACACGTCAGTTAGTTTGTATTACAACTCAATATTTATGCTGCTGGATTTAACACTGAGCAACATTGACCTCCTTGTAAAAAGTTGTCATCCTGGCAGCATATATCAAAAACCCTTTCATGTACAAAAATAGTTTAATAAATAAATCAATCCTTTCTGACTTGACCTATCATTGACTTTAAAGTCACATTTGGCCACAGGGTGGCAGTCACACTCACAGTATGGTCTCTGTTTACTGAGAATCTGAGCCACTTTCTGATTACATCTGATTTTTGGTTCTTACTGAAACAGATCTGAGTTTTTTTATCGTACCTTCAGTTTGTCACTGTCCAACTGCAGGAGCTGCTGACCGTCCACTCCTTTAGCCGTGAATTCCGGAGTATACTGATCCATGTTCATGCCCATCAGCCAGTGACACACCTGCTGGTTTGTCCATTCAGAAACGGGCCGTGTCTGCCACTGA